GAGCCAAAGAGGCTCTGGTGAGTGCTGAGTGACAGGTTAAAGGGCTCCAATAAAGATTAGATGGTCCACTATCTCCTGAGGAAATTGCATAAAAGTGGTTATTCCCTCTTGCTTCTATTAATTTCCTCTTCCTGGCTGCTTGGAAATGCTTCATAACCTGATGCTGCAGATGGGGACGAGAGACGTTTTCCATTATCTCAATCACTGCACTGTTTATGAGACACTTAATCTGTTTCTTTATAAAGTAATAGTACTGTAGGTGATGGATTTAGTGTCACTGTAAGTCTGCGTGCGAAAATGGAGGGAAGGGGTTCTCAAGAGCACTGTAAGCACCAGGTAATTTGTTACATCCTTGAGGCTCTGAGAAGTTGGGTGGGTGTTTCAAGGTGACCTTGTAGATGTTAGCTAGGGGTCACGTGTACTAGTCCCTTGAAGTGGGAGGGAAATACTATGTGTTTTGCGGGGGAATGGAAATATGCTTAGGGACCTGGTATTGAGGTCTGGTGTCTTCCTCTCTGTCAAAGTCAAGGGCTGGGAAAGGGGTGTGTGTAGGGGGAGTGCCACCCAAAAGCTCATTTATCACCTGTCTGAACTGTGATCACTTGCAAGGGAGAGAGAGAAGTCAGCCCCTTTTTCTTAAGGAAACAAAGCAAGCAGGTATCAGAAAACACAGAGCCTTCCAAGTTACAGGCGTTCCAGGAACACTCAGCCAAGGGCATGGGACTCCTCTCTTCCTACACACCTCCCAGAGCACTACTGAAGCCCTGTGGCTGCAATCAGAGCTGGGGATTCTCTGACCTAATTTCCTTTCCTACCTCTCCTGTTCTTCCACCTCTTCCCCTCTTGCTTTGTCTTTTCTTTGCTTTTTCAAAACCTCCCTTATTAGCTGCCACAAGAAAATGTTGTGTACAGTCCTCATCTCATAACAATGGATCCCCCAAATGATGCACATCCTGCCAGGGCAGCTCCCCACCCCCAGGCCCCATGCTTACAACAGAGCACAGCCCATGTACAGGAACCTGCCACCGCCAGCAGCAGGGTGATTTTCAAGGCCTCCCCTGGACCCCTGCACGTTGCTCCTATCCCTGTAGCAAGGTGCCTAGTGCTTGGAAGTTCTTCTATAAACTTTTGATGAATGAGCGGTTCATAACTGTGGTGATAGTGACCATACTTGAATATCAAGAGGAAGGCAATCCCGGAGTCTTGAGATGATATTAAAGCAAAGCACTGTGGTATCCACCTTGAAATTGCTTGGAAGTGTGGCTATGTGCTTGGTTAAGCAATCACAGTATTTAATTATCATTTTTTGAAACTCTAGAGTCTTTAGGCAGGTGTGCAGGCTTTCAGAGTCCCCACCATTCTCCTCTGGGTTACTCCCAGCTGCTTTCCATCTCCTGTTTGGGATGAGACTTGTTTGGGATGAGACCATTTGCTTTTGTTTCCCTTGGCCTCAGTATGTTTTGTTAGAGTCTACCTAGAAGCTCCATGGATCACATCTGATTAAAGCTGCTTTTTCTTAAGGGGCAATGTAGTTTTCTTCTTTATTTTCCCATGTTAAATTTCTAGTAAAATAACAATATTGTTAACTACTATTTCTTATTAGTGGTGTCTGATACAATATGAGTTAAAAAGGCTTTGTGGACTAGCCTGGCACTTTAACCATTATTTAAAGCATTAATTCTCTGAGAAAATATGGTGCAAATGCGCTTACAAGTTACAATCTAAAAGTTTCCCAAATAAACCAAGGAATGCTGCTTCTTTATACATTAGGGAATACCTAGACACAGAGTTTATTAAAATATTAACGTATGAAATCTAAATATTAAGGAGATTTGTCCATTTTATAACCATAAGTGAAATATATTTTACAGAAATAATGATTTGCCTATTAAACAGAAGAGAAGTAATCTGTGCAGAAACACACCCTCCCATTTGGGTTCCAGGATTTATTTACCCAATTTTGGACTCTAAACTTATATTCTAAATTCTAAGAGTTCCTGCAAAGAAAACTTGTTTTTCAAAAGAAAATGGGTTAGTGGAGGTAAAGAGGAATTAGCATTATTTAGCACTTATTAAGGCTAGGTACACTTTCATATTTGAATTTATTAAATTCTAATGATGTGTGGGAGTTGCTGTGAGAAGTGTTAAATTCTTTTTTATATCTCCTTTATAAAGATGAGCAAGTTGAGGCTCTGAGGGTTTATATCACTTTCCGGTGGTCGCCCGGCTGGGAACCAGCCAGGAATCTGACCCAGGACTGTTGCTCACTGCTCGTTGCTCACTGCCTCACGGAGGCTGGAGTCACACTCACTCCCAGGACCTCTCTCCCCAACCTTTCTCTGTGCTTCTCTCCCTAAAGTCCTGTGCAGACCTGCTGTCCTCTGTTTTCACCCCGTGTGGACGTCTTAGAGTCCGCAGGCTTCAGAGCACCCAGTTCTGACTTCCTCCATCAGGAGGCACTTTCTAAGTCCTGCCACTTGTGGATATCGGGATGATTGTTTATGCTGTTAACGTATTAAATATCAAGCAAGGAGGATTTTAAGTGCTAGAAAGAAAGTGAAAACACCTTGGTTCTCCTGGATACATTAAGAAAACTATGGCACGGTGGGGCCCAACCAATGCAGGAGAGTCACCGATGCCCCTCACCCACCCTCCAAGGAAAGGGCTTCTGCTGAGTTCAGGCTGCAGAGACCTGGGGTTTCTCTGTGATCTTCAGCTCCAGAACTGGGTGTGGTCCAGCAGTGCTGTATGGTTTACAATGGAAGGGGCCAAGTGATTCTCAAGGGTGACAAAGAAGAGACACAGAGAGAAGAAAGAGAGAGAGAGAGGACAGAAAGGAGAGCCCTTACTGAGAGGATATGAAGGGCTTGGAAGGATAGATGAGTAGGCCAAATTCTAGGATACTTTGGGTATGCCATTCAGGGTTTTCCCTTTGGTATTTTATTTGAGTCCTTGGTAAGATGTTTTTTTTTTTTTTTTGCCTTCTACTGAGAAGTTTCTTTTGAATGTGCTGAGATGGGTCAGCAAGTGGTCTATTTATACATGGGTTACAACAGATATCTTTAAGAACTTTATTGGATCATCTAGACAACATTTACCCCAGCGTGTTCCATGGAACTTGAATCCCATGCTCTACAAAATAGGGCTTCTTGATGAAAAAAACATAATATTCTATATTGCATTTTTGGAAGTTCTGAGAAATTCTGTCATAAAAAAGGAGATTAATTTTTCAATCCACATTTTCAAAATATCTGGTCACAGAACCCTTTTGTAAGTAACAGGTGTTAACAAGCCAAAGAACATGTACTCCATGGAACACTCTTGGGTTATGCCATTCCAGAACATTCCATCTCAGAAATTACCTTCCATCCAAGATAATCTCCTGCCCCAGGGCACTTCCAGAGTAGCTGAAACCCTATACTTCAATTCAAATGAGAAATGGAGTGAGAAAATTTTCACAGCATAGGAAATAGTCCTTTCTCCTTGTCTTAAAAGAAAAGCTTGGATATTTTTCAAGTTGTCTGTATGGAAAGCATCACCATCATTTCTCCCACTGTGTGATTCAGGGCAACTTTTTAAATCTTTCTGTGTCCCAATTTCCTCATTAGGAAAATGGAGATAATAATAGGTACCCCATAGAGTCATGCATGGAAAGCTCTTAAAAATAGTGTTAACAGATGGTTGCTATTGCTATTATTAAAGAATACACTGCACTTTCCAGGAGAGAGCAATATATTGGAAAGATGAGATTTGTATAAGTAGAAGCCATTATAATGGTACTTCTGTTACATTGATGATAATGTATTATAATTGTGTGACTATACTGGATCAACAGCTCCTTGAGGGCAAGTTCTGTTCCCTAAATTCCCTGGATCAGGTTCTCAGAAGGGCCACAGCAAATGTTTGTTGAATGAATTTATGAGGCATAGAAGCCAAATGAGTTGACCATGCAGTAAGTTTTACTCAGTCTCAAAGGAGAATGAGTCAGAGCAAGTTTTCTGAGGACAGGAAGAGTCAGGAGGTGAGATGGTAAGGAAGAGCCCATAGAAGCAGGGCAGGCAGGAGCAGTCTTTTGTGGAATCAGCAAGGAGGAGACCAGATGTCTGGAGTAGGATGTCTCTGTAGATGAAGCATGGTGAGAGCCTGAGAGACGGCCAGGAACCAGACTTTTTGGGGCATGGCTCCTCACAGGCTGGCCACACAGGGACTAAGAAAAAGTGCCTCATAGCTGAGGACACCTCTAGTGGGCATCAGGCAGTACCAGGCATTCCCAACCTTCCCCACTACCATGTACATGATAGATGATGCCAAGTGCGTGACACATTCCCTGGAGCACTGCCTACAAAGCCCTCCTTTTTTTGCTCCATCTCCTCCCCTCAAAGCATTTCGAAATGCAATTAAGGGAGAATGATGTTGTTAAGCCAGTAACCTTGAAATCACTTTAATTTCTTTTTAAAGAATCACTCATGAATTTCAGTCCTTTACCATCATTCATAACAAATGCTTGTTAACACAGTTCACAGTGTCCCTTGCATGTGTTGCAACATGACATTTAAGAACCATGGGTCCAGCCCATTGTCAGCCAGAACCCTTTCTGTCCAAGGACGTTAGACGAGATTCCTTCAGTGGGTGGCTGTAGGTAAGTCCCTGGCTGTTCACCAGGTGGAAGAGGTGGGGAATGACCATTTACAGAGAGATCACTTAAGTCCCAGACACTGAGCTACACATTAGGTTCATTTTCTCAATTAAATCTCCTGACACACCTGAAAGGCAAGAATCATTATTCATACTGTTCAAGTGAGAGAGGCCATTGGTACTGGGAAGGTATATTTCATAAGGATGTTTAAAGAATTGGAAGTGCGAAATAGGGTTTTTCTCACTTTGTATAAGCTCTCAGTGTCTTTTTCAGGGGGATCAGAATCTTCCATTTACCAGTTCCAGGGAGGGGCCTCTGACTGTCCCTCTTGCATTAATTCTCAGACGGTCTCTTTGTGTTCCAGCCTGCCCTGCAGGAATGTTCAAGGCCAGCCAAGAAGCTGAGGGCTGTTCCCACTGTCCCTCCAACAGCCGATCCCCTTTGGAGGCGTCTCCCATCTGTACCTGCCGGACCGGCTATTACCGAGCGGACTTTGACCCCCCAGAAGTGGCATGCACTAGTAAGTGTCTGTTAGTGGTTCCCTGACAGTGCCAGTGGTGGGAGTGGGGCAGGAGAGACTAAGACACTCACTGATTGCAGCACAAAGCAGAAAGGTGGGCTGGGGTGCTGAAATGGACAGCTCCACTCAGGCCTCCTCTCCCTGTTTAGTAACACAGTGAAGATTAAATTCCTTCTTTACCCATGGAAGAATCTCCCTCCCACTGAGGCAAGACAATTTTTGCCCACCAGATGCTAAAAATGCCAACCTGGAGAGTTCTTTGAGTGTAAAATCAAAATCCACTAGGATATTGCAACAATTCTTGTAAATTCTAGTCACCTCCTCCAGGAAGCCCTCTTTGCAATGACAGTTGAGAATATCCACTTCACTGTGCCTCCTATATCTCTGTGACCAGACTCCCCTCAGACTCTCATAATTTTATTAGTTTCCCAGTTCTTCTGTGCTTGCCTTCTCTGATATCACATGAACGTTCTTATGTTCCAGGACCATACATTCATATCCCCATGTCCCTTCCAGTGCCTGGTATGGTGCAGCATCTGTGCCCCTGCTAAACAACAAGACCAGGGGCCTGGCCACAACGTGCATCTCTGAGTCAACAATCCTGTGTCTGGGGCTAATGCGTCAACTCCACCACTCTCCCATTCTCTGCTTAGAGGGAAGGGCAGTCGTCTTGGCAAAAGCATGTGTGGGAGGCAACTCCACTCCCTGGGTAGGGATGAGGAGGAGAATTTCCTTCCAATATTCTTTCCCATACTCTTGAGGAGGCAGGAAGCACTGCTTTCCCTGCCCAGCACTTTAGAGACTGTGCCCCTACTTCCCTCAGTGTTGTAGCCTTGTTACTGGGATGATGTTACTTTTCAGAATTTCCATTGTATTCACAAGTCAGTGGTCCAGGCTGGCCACTAATTATCTAAGGCTTTCTTCTGCATTGGATGCTATGCCTGATCTTTAGCATCCTTTAAGCACGTAACTTCCCTTCACCTTGTTGCACCAAATCCCTTCCTCCCACCCCCAGGATAGAGGGGCACAGAGGGGCCATTTCATACACACTTGCCGTTTGATGGATAGAAAAAAAGGACTGAACTCTGAGTAGAATTTCTTAATTCTGGCCTTGCCGTGTAGGTAACCCTTGCTGAGTAGAGAAGAGGAATGAAAGTGTCTTCCAGATCAAGGTCCTGAGGTCGATCAATGCTTACAGATTTGATTTAAGGAAAAGTTCATCCTCTGGTAAACTGATTTTCCCCAGACCTCCTCTCCAGTGGGATGATATGAACAGAAATGATTCCATTTCTGATGACTACAGTCCGTCTTTTTGTTGTGGATCCTCACTATTGATTTCTGAGGTTCCCCTGTGGGTCCCTGTGTGCCTCAGAAGCACTGTTTAACTCTTGTCTTAAGAGTGCTGAATCCTGCTGCCTGAATCTTCAGATCAAAGGCCAGTCTCCATGATGTCCAAATCACACTCAGGACCTCACAGCTTTCCTCTTGAAAACATTCCCTTCCACTTCTGCTCATGAATGCTCTCTCACTGGTCAGGCTCTCTCTGCAGATCACTTCCTGCAAATGAAAGTCAGGGCCTCCAGCTTCCCACTTCAGCAGACACACAGTGTAAATCCATCCGGCCCCTGGATGAGCTCCCTACGGGGAAGGCAGGACAGTGACCAAATGCTCGAAACACTGATGTGGAGTCGTCCGCTCCTGTCTCCCTCTCAAGGCTTATCTTCTAACCGTCTAACCTGATGTGCTTGGACCGGTAGGACTGATTCCTGAGATAAGTAGGAATGTTCCAAAGCTTCCAGTCTGCACATTGTAGACCCTCAGTCCTCCCTGCCTCTCCATGTCTCGAGTCCACCTCTGAACTTAGACCTCACAGACTTTTCTCCCCTGTCTCTGGTCTAGCTAGCTTTGAGGTTAGTCACACCTTCCGTACCTGCTGTGGTTCCACCACAATCTCCCCACCTTTCCCAGAGTGGGGGTGAATGTTAGACTTCTCTGTGTGTGTCACCACACCCTTTACATAGTCCTGTGTTATTATCCTCCAGACATAGAACATTAGGGTCAGACGAGAAATCCCCAACTCCAGGTCACACTTGTCTGTGGTGGCCATGTCCGAGAGCAGCTCCTGGCTGTGTTGTCCAGCCCCTAGTCTCAGCCTGCAGGGGCAAGGACTTGGTGAGGGACCCAGAGGCTGGACTGGGCTGCAACAACACAATGCTAGGCAAAACAAGTGTAAATAAACCTATTATTTTATTGAGCCTCATTATATATTTGATTTATTGTGTGCTAGGGAAGTAGTGTATGAAAAAGTCAATTTGTTGGCTTTTATAATCTCATTAGGGTTTCCTTTTAAAGCATTCTAATTGGAGGTGCCATCTGTTCTCTTAAAAAGGCATCACCACAGTAAATAATTTTTCAAATACAAGGAGCATATCTGTAGCTGTGGAGGCCAGGCACAGCCCTGCACCATGGCCCTGGGGACCCTGGCTGGTTCCACAGGTAGAGGAGGTCAACCAGGCATGGACCCTGCCGAGCCTGGGAGAGGGTGATTGGGCTGGTGGGGGAGCAGGAAAAAGGGGCTTGCACATTTTGCAGGTTCAATCTTTCATCCGTCCAATCAGAAAGAGCCGTGGACTAGCAGGGCACTGGGAGGACCCTGGTAAAGGGGCGCTTTCTTCTTCTAAAATGTACAAGACACTGGTGTCTACAGGGTCCAGGTGTTGTAAGCATCAGGGAAAGGGGACAGTGTTGGGAATGTCCCAGAGCCCAGGCCTTAGAGTCTGGAAGGACCTCAGGTTTGGCCTGTTGCCATCACCTTTAAATGAGATTATATCAACAGGCACACACTCATTCACTGACAATATTGAAGATTTTATGAAAAGTCTCACAATTTAAAATGTGCTTTTATAAGTCTAACATACCTATGGTGCACTAAAAACTAATGTTTTTATTGAATCCTGTTAATCTCTTGAGACCAGCACATATGTAGTCATAGTATTTTTATAACATTAAATGTGTTAATTTATTCTAAATTTATCTAAACATTTAGAATGCATGATAATTTTTGTGGCTGCTTGTGGACATTTCTTCATTTTCTTTTTAATGTCTTGTGAAAGCTTAAGATCCCTTGACCTTTGAGAGGCCCTGGCAGCCCTATGTGTCCACTCTAGCCCTTGACAAGATTCGTGGGCTCAGTAGGGATTTGGGCACACCCCAGGGGAGTGACAAAGGGACTGGCGTGGGCTCTAAGTGAAGGCAGAGGCGGGGGCTCAGTGAGCTCTGTGTCTGAGGGTGATGATGCTGTTCTTGCTGGTCTGTGGACACCAGCACCCCCCTTCCTTCGTCACCCTCCTTGCACCTCGGTCAGGCCTGGAGTTCTCGATCTGCTGCATAAACACCTGGTTGATCACCCCCTTGCCTAGCCATGGTCCAATACCTGCTCATATTCAAGAGGAGGCCTTGTCTCCCTGAAGGCTATGGAAGGAAGGAAGGAAGGGGAGGCTGAGAAGGCTGACATAGGGTTTAGGATGCACGCTACAGCTTGTCAGGGCTGTCCTCAAATATCTTCAGCCAGGGTTGGGGTGAGTGTGATGGCAGCTGGAGCAGGTCACAGGTGCCCCCCACCCCTCTCTGCTAACATAGCGCTATTTATGAAGCCAGGCCTCATGAATGATGGGGACCACCTCTGTTGTGGAGTTGCCAAAGGGCCACTTACAGCAGGGGGGAAGGGGTGAGGTCAAGGGGCAAGTGCAGCCTTATCAGCTGGGAGGGGCTGTGAAGGCCGTGGGTTCCCCAGGGCACAGACTCTGAGCTTCAGCTGAGGAGCTTGCCACCTTTGTCCTCCTCCTTCCTGCCCTGGCCACAGCACAGAGGCCCAGAGGCCCGCTGAGGAGTCCTGGCCTTCCCAAATGACCCCAGACTTGGGGAAAGCACATTAAATCATTGATTGCATGTAGCAGTCAGAAGATGGGCTTTGGCATTTCACAGACAAAAGTTTGAATCTTGACTCTGTCTCTTACCTTCTCTGTGATCCTGGGCTAATTTCTTAACTGTCATACATTCTGTCATTTTATTCTTCCACCTTACAATAACGTATGCCTTTCTGGGTTGTTATGAAGATTAAGCAAAATAGTATTATAGAGTCTTTGGCACAATGCCTGGATTATAGTAAATGCAATTGATGTTAGAACTTGCTTTGGTTACATCCCTGAAAAGTGTGAAGATTGCAGCTCATACAGAAGCTTCCAGCATGATAAGATGCTGGAGACCTAAAGGGGATGTCCTCAAGGAGAGTCTCTGTTGATGCTGACCCTGAGCATCACAGTGGAGCCCATTGTGTGGCTCCAGACCACACAGGACCCTTGGCTTGAAGGTCTTGGTGAAAACAAAGGGACGAAGATGGTGGCTGGGGCTGGGCACACTGCGGAGGAAGCAGGGAGATGCAGACCCAGCGTCTGAGAGCAGCAGATACCACCCAGCCCTCCTGTCCTCGACTGAGAGGGGCCAAGAAGGTGGGTGAGAGTGTGGCCCCGAAACAGCTGGCTCTCATCCTCGGGGCGCAGAGGTATACTGACCTCTCAGGGTCAGACTGGTGGCACAGGGAGCACGGCAGGGTCAGTGGAGACAGGCAGCAGCCAGGAACACATGAGCAAGTGCACAGAAATGTGAAGCCAGGCACTGAAATGTGTGCCCTCAGTTTTAAATAATTTCTAGTTTACTGGGGATGAAATGGAAAGTAGGAATTTATGAAGCAGGTGAAAATAGGTAATTATGCCTTATAAAATTGCTGTCTGTGAAAAACTGTGTGGAAGGACTGGTGTAAAAATAATTACCTTGTTACATTTCTGACCACAAAAACCCTTTTTCTGTCACCCACATGGGAGAAACTTTGATGGATCACAGAGACAAGCTAATGCTTGTCTTGCTTCTTTGTTTCTTCTCCAGATGCAATGGGTGTCCCCCCCTGCAGTTTGGATCATAGAAATGGAATGAAGAAAGGGCTT